GTACCCTTTTCTTGCAGCAACTCCTATGAGATTTTCCAGAAAGTTTCCAGAAGCTGGGATTTTAGACTAGGAAAAGTTTTTCTACACTTTGATCGCTATTGCAGACAGGATATTACATGGGATGAACCTACAGTTTGATTCAGTACAGCAATCGTCATGCTGAATGCATTATTTACAAGACAGTGAGCTGCAATAAATTAAGTTTTACTGATAGTCTTGCTGCTATTTAGTCTTGGAATTTATTAAAGCAATAGCTTGGGTTTAATACCTTTCATCACTGTTTGTTTTGGTGTAACCCTTTATATGAGAGAAATGAAAGCGCATGAACAGAGGTGAGTTGCAAAGCTGGAAAAAGAGCTAGCTCTCTCCTTTCGCCTCCTTTCCACTGGAAATACTCATTTCTCACTTTTTGTGTTAAACAGGCATCTCTTATCAAAATGGAAAAAAAAAAAAAAAGATTATTCAAAATGGTGTGAAATTTTGGATTATGCATGCCTGAAAAGTATGACCGGGAAGTGCTGAAAGATTTGGTCAACCACAGGCTCAGTCCCGCCAGCCTTGCTTTCTGCAGTGACACCAGTTCACAGGACTCACTCTTCTCATCAGCATCCTTACTCAGTCTCTGCCTACAACTCTCTCCAGTTCCACAGCTGTCTTCAACAAAACTGTTCATCGGACTCTGGCTTTGGAGGGATGGCCCTTAGGTTTGTGAGTCTATGTGTCAAAAACATATACAACTATTCCCAGCTGTGGAGGAAGAGTAAAAGGACGGAAGACTTAGTCCACTGTAGGGACTACGCCAACTTTCACGCACTATTGGTTTTATCAAAGTTACAAGCAAAGGAAAAGGAAGTTAGTACTTGAAGTGCCATCCCATCTTAACAACAGTGGGGATAGTACACCTATCTAACAGATGTAGTCCACAACTGCTGCCAGCTATTGACATAAATCATATTCCACATTATGCAGCTTCGTAATTGGGACTGTGGTGACACAGCATGCAGAGTTGTACTGCAGAGCTATGATATCATACCTGTGAAATACTATACAGCTATTCAAGAACATCAGAGCTATGAAGCACGACTATTTAGTAATGCTTAAAAATACCAACAGCACTTACAGTAATACCAAATATTTACAGTGCTGTCACTTTCAAGGTTTGGCAGACCCATGCTTTCTAACACAGCAGTTGCATGCCCTGTTTTCTCCAAAAGTGAAAATCCCCATAGCCAGTTTTTGAAGTATATAATTTTTTTCTGGAAAGGCATGTTTGAGCCTTGCCAAAACTGGGTCTTTCAGCTCACAAGAAATTGCTGTGCGGACTTGCTCCTTTGCCTCACTGCAAATTGAAGGTGGAGGCTGCTTTTAAGCCAGGGACCAGCAGCACTCTTGTGAGTGCTATAAATGCAAACCCAATATTTTCTGAGACTTAGGAGAGCTGGGGGATTTTTTTTTTAATACCAAAGGAGCTTTTCTCAGTAAACGTACAGCAATATCACAAATAGAAGAATGTTCTGCAGCTGCATCTAGATTTTTTCTGCTGCTTCTCTTAATTTTCTTCCACTCCCTTCTTTTTGACATTCTTGCTTTTGTTCCCTCTCCCTGTACCCTGTTTGCTTCCCTTTCCTGTTCAACTTCTGCCCACCTCTTCCCTGCCACTCTCCTCTTCTGCCTCCTAAACAACCATTTTCGGCTGTTTTTCTGCACACGCAAGTGGCCAAGTAAAAATCACAGCATTTCTGATGATACTGGATGATAACAGTACTTCCTTGGTGCAAGAAAAAGATCATTTAGCCACAAAAAGTCTAAACTTTCAATACACGAACTAAAATATGAAAAAAAACCTGAAGGGGAATATGAAGCAGTTCTAGCCAAACATTTTAATTGAACGGTACCACCTGTCTGTGCTTTACTCGCTAATGTTTGCAGTGCAGGAATTTTTCACTCTCCGTTATACCTATGGCTGGAAGAATGCGAGTGAGTTAAGTCACAATCTTATCCTAGAGCTTCTTCTCTGAAAACAGATTCCTGAGCACACACACACTCCGTTACTGCTGCACAGATGGAGCATTACCTGCACTGGACAACAATTTGCCAAAAAGTCCCTTGTGGTTACCTTTCTGAGCAAGAAGAAAAGTATTTTGTACTTCAAATTAAGCTCCAGTGAACACACATTACAGAAACTGCAAAATACACACATTCACAAAACAAAACTGTTACCTAAAGATGTAAGTATACATTCACACCCGTGTGTATGACACATAAATGAGAATATACAATATAGGTAGAAAATGCTATTCTTACCTTATTGCACTTGCAGATAAGTGGCCATAAGAACCACTGGCTGAGGAACTGCTACGTGAATTATTGAGAATTGTGACCAAGGAATTTGGAGATGTCCGGATCATGGTCTGAAGGTCAAAGCTGTGATCAGATAGGGGGGATATGGACAACGTACGCTTTCGGCTTGGTCTAGCTGACAATCTCGGACTTGGAAACCTGGCGCCTGTTATGTAAACACAAATAATTATCCACCAGGGTACTTAATCACATTTATTTGTTATCAGTGATGGGTAGAGGGAGTCACAAGACACCAACACGCTGTGACAAGCCCACTCTCTCCACTTGTGATCTACTGGCTACGATTGAGGAAAATTAGGAAGAAAAATCTGTCTTCCTGTGGCTTACCTCACGGGAGCTCTGTTTATTAATGTGCAAGCAAAATGATAAATTGCTAAACAAAAGGAAAAGACTTTTATGAGTTATCCCTCTCATTTCTGGTGATTTATGAATCTGATGGCTTCTTAGACATTCACATCATTAATTCAACTATGAGCAATGAGACAGTGGTTCAGATCTGGGCTACCAGCAAACCCAAACCTGCATCACTTTAATACATACAGTCAAAGCTAAACTTGTAAAATATAGTGTCGAAATGAGGAGGCAGCTTCTCCTTTGTTGACCGTAATACTGCTTGGTCTATACTTCATGCAAAACTAAAGATCAGGATTGAAAAAACACTATAAAGGCCAGCTCTATCAGCAGAAGTCTGAGAAGCCCCAGCATTAGACTGAGAAACAGTAGGTTTTATTTGAACTTGTCCAAGATCCCATGATATTCTTGTGTTGGGGTGCACAAGGGCCTATGATTGCCAAATTTCTTTAAAACTAGAGATTAAGCTTTTCAAAGCAGCACAGACAAGGCAACCATACAGATAGCATTTAAATAAATACATATTAAATTTTCTGAGCTGCTCTGAAAATCTGTACCTCTTCTGGTCTATTTCACCATGTCATCCCAACTCTCTGCAGTCCTGACAGAAGATATATCGCCTTAAATTTCTTCCCTTTATTTAATTATTTTCGATCTCAGTTGAAACCAAGGAGGAGAGAATCAGCTTCCCCACTGCGTACTGAACTATTTCCTTTAACAGTACTACTGCTTCTACCTTTTTAATCCCTTTAACCTGTGGTAAAGGACTGAGTCCTAACGATCCTGACAGCCAGGGTCATGCAGGTCTTGGGTTTGATGCCTGCTTTACAGCTACTTCTCAGAGTCCCTGACATTCTCTGTAACTTGCTAATAACTCACAGTTGGCCACAAGCCTTTGTTATAGGTCTGACTTTTCTAATTCTTGCTCATGTCTTGGTGCCCAGGACCCTTTTTCAGCAGGGTATTTAAGGCAACATGCCTAACATTAACCAGGAGAAGAGCCCAACTGACTCCAGTTAGACTCCTCTCAAGGACAGAGCTGGATTAGCATTTGCCTGTATGTTTTCCTTACATATCTGAGTGGGTTGCCCTTCTGTCTGTGCGTGCTATCCAAGATTTTCATCTGGTATTAAAAGCTGTGATTTTATTGCTGCTGTGACTATATGGTCAGATCTCCGTCTATAGTCCTCCTCCTAATCTGTGCTCGGACTTGCCTCAGTTAGCCAACATGGGTGTCAAGTCTCTTTGGCACCAGGCTAAGCTAACACAGAGGTTTTTTTCCCTCATGCTCCCTCTCTGCAATAGCCCTTAACACATGCTTTCAATGGCTGTTCATGCTCTTGATTCATCATTTAAAACTTCTGTATAGCCATTTGTTTCTTCCTAAAAGCTACTACACGGTGTTTTACATAATCTGTTTTATCTCCTTTTTATGAGCTTACTATTGTACTGTGTCTGCTTGATATTTTATTTGTGCTGTGCTTCATGTCTTTTAAAGGCAGACAGCTTTTATTTGTGCTACAATAAAACCAACAATAATCAGGAGCTTTAAGAAGCTGCAATACATTCAACAAGGAAATACAAGGTACATGTCATGGTAAAACAAAAATAGTAATACTCTGCACTTACATCTCTCATCCACAACTCTCCTAACTTCAGCTAGCATGAATGGGAATACCAGCTCTGAAGTCAGGAGTGGTAACATAATTTGCCTCAGCTGAGGATACAATTCAAGTGCTTTATAGGTGAATAAACTCTGTTCTCCTGGTTTTACAAGGGGATAGCTAAGTACAGGCGTTGCTGGTTAAACAACAAGTGAAGAGGACAAGGAAGACCTGCCACATATTGGCTGATCAGCAAAATGAGATGTTACTCGAGCACTGCTACCACAGTACCATGTGTTACTACCAACCATCCTAATGGTGTGCTATATATGACAGCAACAATTTGCAGTCATGTGAACCTAATTATGAACCCTCTGTTTTCCTCAGACTGATGGGCACAGACCTCATCGTGCCAAAAAGAAGGCAGCACAGATGCTCAGAGGGGACAAGCACACCTCCCTCTCTTTTGATAAGCAAGACCTAGCTAAATTTCTGCATTTACAGCTGAGAGTCGCAATGTGCTACTGATGGCCATGTATGAACTGTTTCAAGTATGATTTCTAGGACAAATACTTTTGAAAAATTACTTCTTATGGAGCTGAAGTCCAGTTTTGAATCTGTAAAACTACAAAGAGATTGCCACTTCTTTGAGAAATTCATTAAAAGCCTGCTAAACGTGGACTGATGGCTACTGATGCTAACTAGAGAGGGGGTGCATGGGTTTGATCAAAAAAGTGGAGCAGTTGTTAGGAATACTAGCACCTGAGCATCTCTCTTTTGAAGCTAGACTGGGCAATAAAAGCAGGAGACGACACTTCTGTTTTGCTGCTTCTGCCGTCAGACACCACTTATTTTGCATGCCACAGCTGCCCAAGCAGACTTGTTGGTACTCCAGCCCGCCATCTCAGGGAGGACAGAACAAGCATTCCTGACAACTGTTCAAAGCTCTTACCATCTTGGGGAGAAGCACGGTCACCCTTGACAGATCACATAAGGGGACAACTTATAGTCCCTGTGGCGCCCTGAAGATACTCAAAAACTCGCCATTCAGCGAGACCTGGACAGGCTGGAGAGTTGGGCAGAGAGGAACCTGATGAAGTTCAACAAGGGTAAGTGCAGGGTCCTGCACCCGGGGAGGAACAACCCCATGCACCAGTACAGGCTTAGGGTGGACCTGCTGCAGAGCAGCTCTGCAGAGAGGGACCTGGGAGTGCTGGTGGACGACAAGCTGACCATGAGCCAGCAGTGTGCCCTGGCTGCCAAGAAGGCC